CTGGCCTCGCTTGAGATAATGTATTCTTTTGAATTTTGTACTGGAGAACGAGGCCAGTAGGGCTAATTTAAATTTAAACAAAAGAATATTAATCCGGCAGCCATTTATGAAAGTGGTCTATAATAGTTACTCTAATTTTTTTGCTTCTGTTAAGGTGGCTATGAACATCTTGAACAGTGGCAGGTTTGGTATCGGAGCATGTGCTGCAGGTGGACTGAGAGGGCTGATAGGTAATTTTAAGTAATTGTGGCGTGTTCAAGGGGAGGGTGTGTGGATCCCATCCCCCCCCCCCACACAACTCATCCCAGCCCCCATCATCAGACTTGTGATTGATTTTCCTTCTTAATTGTCTGAAACTGACATTTTGCCGGCAAATTTTTATCACTGACCACTCAATTTGAAGTGTTTTCAATTTACTTATCTTTAAAAAAGGCTCTGATTAAAAAAAGGAAAGAATAAAAGTGTGTTTTCTGATTAAAAATTTGGACCCCTTCCCAACCCCATTGAAACTCTGCCCCATTCCTCCTTCCCAGCACAGTTTGTTTGTGGCTCTCTAATTCACAAAGGTTCAGTATTCTTTTCTGAGATAATGTTTAAGTTCCATTGGAAAAATGATTGTGCAGACCTTATGTCCAAAAAAAACCAGTAGGTGGCTTCTTTAATGGCTAATACCAGCTGCTTTACATATTACACACTAACTTTGAAGCAAACCCTCCACTTCAAAGACTTTTTTTAAACTTTTAAGTAGAGGAAGTGCTTTCAGAACTTTATTTGTGTAGTATAATTTCGACCGAGGGTTGGTTAGCGTCGAGTTGTTTCGATGCTTAGGCAAACGTTGGGTTTAACGCGAGCTCGCACATGGGGTGCAGGACACTCAACTGCTTTACAATCAACTGAATCTACTTTATTGCTTGAATCAAGGTTCTTATATACATAATGGTAGCTAAATCATATGTGATACAAAATACAGAAGATAATACGAGTTTCCCTTGGAATAAACAACTTAATTACCACGTATCCGCAGTTTCACCAATATGGGAGGACACTTTCGTAGATCCTGCGGAACTAGTGTTCCTATGTGTTTTTTAGACGGAAAACACGTACAAGTTTCCATATTCTGATGTCTGTTCTCAACCTTACACTGCACCCGTAATTCAGTCTCTGGGCTGCAAGTGGTCATATATAAACTATATTCATAAACTATATTCATATTCATATTCTATGCGACACGTAGTTGGAATATTTTCATGAATACTCTAGCAACAAAGGGTTACACATAAATCATATTTCTGGTTGTAATTAATATGTAATCAAAGCTTACTTTAGAATTGTTTGTCACGCTTTGTCACACTATACTTAACTTTAAATTTGTCACGCTTTGTCACGCTATGCTTAACTTTACAACATTTATACATTGAAAGTCTCAGATCTCAATTTGTTAGTGTTGTGATTTTAGTTGCAGCAGCAGAGCATGCCACTACAAGAAAACAATTCAACAGGACTTTGTCAGGATTTGGACAGATTCAGGTTTTTATAGAAATTTGTTGCTTATGGCTCTTTGAAATCTTTACCCTAGACCAAAGTAAATCTCTGAAACTCTCACCTCTTACTTTCAAGAACTTTTTTTTTAATTTTTGCAAAAGCATGAAATAAAATGGAATTTAATTAGGGGCCTGTACAATCAATATCTGCTCTAATGATCCAAATTAATTGGTCACACTTTAATTTTATATTAGTTGCATTTCTTAGGATATGGAAATGGCCACTGTTTTAGAAAATAGAGGTGAAGCTGGGTCCATAAAATCAAGAAATTTTTTTTATGGTTTGCTTAGATTTTGGACCTCACCTTGTACAACATCATGAACTTACAGACTAAGAGAAACTTCCAATTGAGTTATTCAGTCACTTTTGTGTTGCATTCAGGGAGCTCCAACATAAATTGCAGCATGAATGTTTGATTTGTGCCGCTTCCCTAACCAGTCAATTATACTAACTGAAGCAATAACCAAATATAAGTGGTATGGTCCAAAACCAATCTTTTTCTTTATAATTTAATTTAATCAGGAGAAGTTTGCATGTATGGCATTGAAACAATATACAATTGAGTCCATGGCGTACCTGACAACTGGGATGTTGGACGGTGGTGAGGAAGACGCTTCGGTGGAGGCTGCCATGTGCAAGGTTTGTTGTTGGAAACCCAGATTTGACATTTGTACAATGAAAGCCTCCAAAGCTTTCGCTTCTGTTTCCATTTTTTTTTTAAGCAGGGGAGAAGTGTGAGCCACGTAGGAGTCTTGTGAAAGCATAGCAGCTCAAGAGAGCAAAAATATTAAGAGGAGGGGATAGACAAAAGTTATGAAAAGTTCCTCTTTTCTTTATGTACCCCTTGATTTAAGTTTTTTTTTTTAATTTGTAACTTTGCAATTGGCCTTGCTCACCATACAGTCTTTGTGGCTTAGTAGTAGAGCATTGGGGCACACAATCCAAAGGTCTGAGATCCAATTCCTCCTGAGGACTCAGAATATTTTTGTTTATTCCATACTCTTGACCAAACAAAAATTAACATCCTTCTCTATTTTTTTTTTGGCCCCCCTATAGTCCATGCTCGGTGTGATCTCCTTAAATTAACTCACATTCTCTTTGCAAAAAGGAAACAGAAAAGACTGGATCCTACAAGTTACACATCTTTCTTGGTAGATCATGTCATGTGATCGTCATTAGGGCAAGGGTATCGTCCTCAAAAGGACTGTTGTCAATAGCAGTCTGAGAAGTGAAGGAGGAGTTCAGGGCTGTGCTCTAGCAGCACCCGGTGGCCCCTGGCGCCTTACATTTAACAAATGGTAAACACCACAGCATACACTATTGAGTTATGGATGCACGCGGGAGGTTGCTAAGCACGAAAGAAGCGTAAGAGTCGCTCGAGGCGATAGCCGAGAGCGACTCTAGCTTCTTGAGTGCTTAGCAAACCTCCCAAGTGCATCCATAACTCAATAGTGTACGCTGTGGTGTTTACCATTTGTTTTATAACATAACATTGATACATTGTAGCTAAAGAGTTCCCTTTTATTTAACAAATCTTACG